CTGGTTCCCAGTCAAGCTGGCTGGACTGTTGGTCCCCCAGGTTTTCCTCCGGAGTGAGTAACGGCGCTTCCGCTGCACCCACACCCTGGTCCATCCATAGGGAAGGGGTCTCTTCTCCCTCCTTTGGTTGTTCCGGTATCGGATGGGCAGGCGTGTCGGCGACGACCTCCCGAGTTCCCGTCACCCTCTCGTCCCCCTTCCCTCCCGGTCCACTTTTCTTCTTCTTATTTTTCTTCCCCCGGGGGGGGCCGCAGGCAGGCCCTCCGATCTTATGACCCGAGGGCCTGCCCGCCTTGGCGCAAACGGCGCATTTTGCCGCCCGCTCGCACCCCTTGGCGCGGTGGCCGGGGGTACCGCAGCGATAGCAGAGGTCGCTGCGGTTGACGGCGCTAGTGCACCGCTCGCGCACGTGTCCCGGTAGTAAGCACCGGAAGCACAAACCGCGCGAGCGGGCAGCGCCGTCACCCCGGCACGGGTCCACCCAACGTGGACCCGTTCCGCGGCGGCGACCTTTGCGGCCACCGCCAGCGGACACCGCACCACTATTGCGCTGGTCCCGCGCTGGGTGACGCTCATCTCACCCGGGGATATTTCCTCGGGTGAGCATCCCCCAGCGCGAGCAACGGCGGCCATCACTTCGTCGGTCCCGGTTGTCGCGTCCAGGTCAGCCAGTCGCAATGCCGCAACCTTTACCGGCCTCTGGACGCGAAAACCGGGGCCCGCCTCCGCCGCCAGCTTGCGGAGCTCGTCCACAAGCCGGTCGGCGGAAGCCCCGACGTCGAGGCCAGGCACCTCAACTAACATCGCCCCGCTCAGGGCCCGGTGGACCTTTAGGGACGTACCGATCCCCAGGGTCCGCCGGGATAATGCGGCGCCTGGCCTCCGCCATAAAATCGGCGTATTTCCCTTCGGGGCATGTAATCGTGACGACCGCCGAGCACGGTGATTTAGGTCTGCCCCGTCCGGCCACTGCGGCCGCCCTTCCCCCGGATCCGGCCTTTGGAGGAGGGGTTACTCGGCCAACCGGGCCGTTCATCCTCTTCTCCTCCTTATTCTTCTTCTTCTGCTCCTTCCTGCCCACCACCTGGGACCAGGTTTCCGTCGGCTCCTGGCCGAGGTGGAGCGCCCACCCTAACGCCCTCTGGGATGTGTCCAAACCTGCTTTCAGCAGGTCCTTGGCCGCGACTCCTCTTCCTCCCTCTCGGACCCTCTTCTCCTCTTCCTCCTTATGAAGCCTGGCCCTGGCTTTCCTCCTTTCTTTGTTCCTTTTCTTCCTTTCTTTCTTGCCCTGCCGCTTAGATGCCTCCAGGACTGTCCTCTCTTTCCTAGCAGGGGCCTTTCCTTTCTCCACCTTCCCTGTTCCCATGGGACAGATGGGTGAGACCCCCACCGCCGCAGCTGTCTCGCCTCCCGGACCAGCAGCCGCGAGGCGGTTGATAACGGCTAAAAGCCTATTAACCCCCGCCCCGCAGCCGCAGTCCGGGAACCGGGCCAGCATATCGGAGTCCAGTTCCTTAACCGCCCCTTTGACCTTTTCCAGAAGGGGTGAAGCCTCATTGGTTATCTCCATGACGTCGTCGAGTATCGGCGGGGCATCTAAAGACACCCTTTCCTTTCCCGCCGTCCTAATGGATGTGGAAGCGGAAGAAGAGTCTATCCTCCTCTTCTTTTTCCTCCTCCTCGTCTCATCTCTTCTCTTCTCCCGCTCCTTCCTGCCCCATTCCAATTCCTCGCTTGAGGCAATCGAGGACGACGAGCCCCCCGCCGCCTCCACGTAGGAGAGCCTCCTGCTGCCTGTTGACCGGTGTGGTGGAGAAGAGGCAGCCGCCGGAGGAGTCTTCGGAATCGATGAAGCGACTTGTCGCTTCACCGATTCCAGCTCCTCCGCCAGCCGCCTATTCTCCACCTTCGTCTTTCTAAGTTCTTCGCGAAGATCCGCCGCCTCCTTCTCGGCCAGGGTGATATCTCCCTCACCCTCTCTGCTTGCCACCCTGGCCATCAAGGTGGCGAACACGGCCTCGGAGATCCCCACGGCACGATTCAACGCCCCCACAAAGGTCCCCTTTAAGGTATTGGACCTTCGTGAGACTAGTCGAATCATGCCGAGGGCTCGACCGACCTCCGAGGCCAGCTCGCTCACCTTGGCCTCCTTCAGCAATCCTTTCGCGGCGCTGTCCTTAAAAACCTCCTCTATTGGGCGCTTGTCCCTCAGGGATTGGAATATGCCTGCGTCCAGGATGGCTTGTACCTCCTGTTCCAGCCTGGTCTGCTCCGCTTCTTTCCTCTTCTCCTCTGCTGCCGCCTTCTTCTCCCTTATGCCGACGCCCGCACCGGTGACCACGGGTCTGCCGCGACCCCTCTTCACCGGCTCGAGTGCCGGCCCTGTCGTGATAACGCAGGAGGCACTGCTGCTGCTGCTGCTTGTGCTCGCCTGCTCTCTCGTCCTCTTCTTCGGGCCGTCTCTCAATCGAGATACGGGGATCCTCGACCCCTGCGAGAGCAGGACATCGGAGAGGACCACCAGTCCACCGGTGGCCCCCTTCGACGCCCCCTTAGCCCCCGCAGGTCCCGAAGCTCCCGCATCCCGACTCCCCTCAAGGAAGGGTTCGTTGCTCCTATTTTTGGAACAGCGGGGGCTGGGTTTATCAGTCAGTATGGTGTTAAGACCCCCGGTCCCCTTTGATCCAATGGTCCCACGTTGAGTGGCCGCTCGCTTTGGCCTGTCCGGCGAGCTCACCTCGCCACCTCCGCGGTCGGAGGAGCGTCTCCCCAAGGGCGGTGGTCGACACTCATTTGTTGGCCGCACCCCAGTGGCTAATCCACTGGGGCCAGCTAGCTCTTTCTCCCCAGGGGGCGGGCAGGTGGCACCTGCCTGTCGATCTCCTACCACCTCTAAACCCCCCTTACCTACTTTGTAAAAATCACCCTCTGATGAGGGTGGTGAGTCCTCGGACGGGTTGCTACACCCATCTCTGCAGGACTTTGAGCCCGAAGGCACGGAGTTTTTGTTTTTTGTAAATTTGGAAATCATTTTTGTCCCCACGAGTGCGCAGGAAGTGGACGTCGACCACGGGTAGAGCCCCCGCATTGTCCGGGGTAAGGCTAGCGTGTCCCCTGGGTTCGCCAAGTGCCCAGGGTGAGGAACCACTAGCGACAGGTCACGCACCTGCCATTCATCCCATAAGCGTGGCATGCCTCAACCGCAGGATTACGTGGTGTTTTATAGAGGACCCGCCTCGCGGTCCGGCCAATTAAGGCAAGACCCCCGGCCCCAGAGACATGACCTAGGGTTACGGTGTGGTAGGCCTGGGTCTGTCGGGGATGCCTGAGTCCCCTGTACCAGGATGTCGAAGCACCCTGGCCCCTCACAATTGTGTCAGGTTGTACGTCCTGACAAGTACGGGATTCCAGTCAGGGTTTTCCTTCCCCTAGAACGGTTGCCTTCACCCGGCTCACGAGCCCGTTCCGCCCGCGCTATAGGGTCCTTTGGGTCACACTAGTACAAGTACCAGTGCGGCCCTCCGGTCCCTGTATGAAACTCGGAGGCAGCTGCCCCTCCGAGAGTGAATAAGGACGCTCTTTGTCTGGTCCCTCTGTACAGACCCCTCCAGCATGGTAGAACCTGCCAGGGGCCGAAGCCCCCGCCGGCACAGCTCTGTACATCATCAGGGCACGCAAGCTCCCCCACCACGGCAAGGTGGCGTACACGGGGGAGAGCTCCAATTACCTATTCCATCCATCGGTAGCACGACAAACGTGTCAGCGCTTCAAACTCAACACAGTAAGTAAATTAATGCATGTGGAACCCATTATATAATTAGAATATTGGAAATAAAATCTCTAAAGTTAAAAAAAAATGAAACATATAGATGCCAAAACGCAGTGGAATAGAGGCGCGTAAGCGAATGTTAAATAAAATCACGAGAACTAAGGAATAGATAAACGAACAGAACAAGAAATTTAGTTCTCAACGGGACAATATAGGAAATGCATCACCGCAAAGAGAGATAGGAGACGACGAAATTAGGGGAGCTTATAAACAGATATACGACCATTCCATTTCCGGCATTACTACGTATCTTAACACTCGCTACATTAACCTCTGAACTCCCTCTTCATCTTCTTCATCACGAGATATTAAACCTAAGCGAACAAAAGTATCCTCTGTAGCAAGCTTGTCCAACCAAGTTGACAGTGCGTCACAACCAGGCCCCTCGTACAAAGTAGCCTGTACTAGTTCGAGTTCTAAAAGCATTACCGTTCAAAAACCGCGTTCATTTGGCGAACAATCAGACATAGAAGTAGAAACATTGACAGATCAGGAAATAGAAGCAGAAAAGGCGTATTTTATGGCTGATATATCTCCGTTTATTAGTAATTTATCTGATTAGTTACACACTTTCATTATATTTTGTTACTCCTGTCAATATCAAGTAATAGTAATACACTATATTCTATATTATAACCGTTATTGCGAACACAACCAACCACACACACATACGCTTATATATATATATATATAGCTTATGTACTCACATTATGTAATCTCTGCCCATATTATCAAAAATATATTATATACTAACAGCATTAGCAGCCGTTTACTAGTTTTGAATAGATTAAGCCCTTTTCCCACCTTTTAATTGAAAAGGTAATAAATAACGTTCAGGTAGCAACGTTAACTTTAATGAAGTACGGATCCTCTCTCGGCATAGCCCTCAGCGGCCCAGGTTATTGCCGGTGAATGCAGGTAGGCCTAAAAGAAATAGAGGGCAGGCGCCATCGTAACCCTTAGGGAGAACGAGACGTTACAGCGATCGACCGAGCGATCGTGCGAAATACGCATCCTATTTTTGCCGGAGCGACGTGCGCTCGCGCGAGAATAGGATTCCTCGTTTACCGAGCGATCGCGCGAAATAGTTAGCGATAGAGAGAGAGAGAGAGAGAGAGAGAGAGAGAGAGAGAGATAAGACGATCGAGCGCGCGCGAAACGAGAACCCAACATGGACGCGAGCACGACCGCGCGCGTCCTGGTGATCGTCGCGCTCATCATCGCGTTGATCTACCTCGTCGGGCGGGCGAAGGTTCGGAGCAATGTTCGACTGAAGCGGCTGTTCAACAGCCAGACGTTGGACACGCTGCGCATCGGTGTCGCCGTTACAGCCGACGAGATAAGTAAGTCTCGGGTCTGTGATCTCGGGACCCGTGTCCGCGCTGTTGTTCCTCTCGAAGCGAACCTCGCGCGATTCGCCGTCGCGATGAATGCGTCGCGCGGCGCGACCACCTCTCGCGTCCCGTCCGCCGTCGAAACTACCGCGTACGAGAGAGTGACCGACGAATTCGTTCGAGAGTACAACGAAGAGGTCCGATCGATCGTGAAATTGGAGTGCGCCGACAACGCCGCCGCGGCCGACAACCACGTGGCTCTCGGTACGATCGTAGCCCGATACGCCGCCACGTGCGATCGATTCATCGTAGATCCGGCGGACAGACAGTTTCTGCGCAGCGAAGTGGTGGCCCGGTGCATGCAGGCTCTCGTGCTACGCTCCATGCAACTGAGCGGTTTCGCCGATCTGGCGATGTCGCTCGGCGCCGCGAGGAACATACGCGCCGACATCGAGCGAGCGCGTCGTCGCTTGGACGACGCGCGCGACACCGGCGACTCCGTGGACGCCGACGCCGATCCGCGCGTGCACACCGACGGACTGTACGAGTATATACCGCACGAGAGTCTGAACGTCTCGCTGAGCGATCTGTCGGGCTACGAGGAGCAGCACGCGCAGTTGCTGAACGCCTATTTCGTGATCAACGACGAGCCGGAGAGCGCTCTGTTGGCGGACGAGACGATGGAGCGACGACCGAGCACGCGGGCCGGTGCGAGCGTGATTCTGTACGGACCACCGGGCACCGGTAAAACCGCAGCCGCTCGAGCAGTGGCCAGGTCACTCGGTTTGAATCTGGCGTTCGTCAACGCGGAGTCAACCTGCTGTCGGCCTACCGCTCGGAGACCGAGAAGAACCTGCTCTCGCTGTACCGGAAGATGCGCGCTCTCGTTCGCACCACCGGTCATAACGTGGTGCAGCTGCTGGACGAGGTGGACGGACTGGTGAAGAATCGCAGCGGTGCCGTGACCAGCGGCGAGTACAGTCTGCTCACGAGATTTCTCACGATTCTCGAACCGAACGACGGGACGGACAACTACGGCGTGTTCAGCTTCTTCACGATCAACCGTCTAAGCAATCTGGACGACGCGTTTTGTCGTCGGTGCGCCGCCGTGTTCATGGATTACGTGGGTACGCGGGAGGCCACGGTGCGATTGTTCAACGCTTTCCTGCACCGATCGATCGACTACGCGACGTGAGGCACCAGATTCGCCAGTCGGGACTACGAATCGGAGATTCGTCGAACGTGTCGTCACTGGGTGCCCGGAGACTTCGCGCGCTTCAAACGCACGATCGTGGAACCGTCGCGCCTGCGTCGTTACTTCGAATGATCCGACACCACGTACGAGGACTTTGTGACCGAATGCCTGGCGACGCGAGGCAACGACGACGCCGCCGTCGGTGACGGTCGCGACGATCGAGAGATACGCGTGACTCTGCCGTTGCTGTCGTACACCGAGATACTGGTGCACACGGCGCGTTACGAACCGGTGACATCGCTCGACAAGTACGGTGAGTACGATCTGCCGTTGGTGCGACGGGACGGGAACGATGACCAGGATGGATGAACCTGTAGCGGGAAAATAATAAACGACTCGTAGTGGATACTGACGCATAGGTGCAATCGTTTAATCGACCTCTTTCCTTCAAGCGCATGTGCATACAAGTGCATATATATACGTGCGTGCGACACGAAGAAACACAAAGAGATACGGCGCGCGAACGCGCGCTCGATCTTCGAGGTATGTGCGAGAGCCGCCGCTACGAAGCGATCGTAGCAGTAATCCGGATGAGTTTCGTTTCGCGTATATTTCTCCAGAGCGAGCATCTCGGATCGACCAATCAGTTTTTCATTTCTTATTTCAGGGATAAAAACAAGGAACTTTGATTGGTTGGACGCTTTGACGCTCGACGCTCCCATGTAAAGGCACCTTTTCATCGTCGAGATCGGTCGCGCGGTGTTTGCGTCGACGACGACAGTGTCGCGACGGGCCGCGATCGAGGCGCACATGCGATCGATCGCGGCGGAATCGATCACGCGAAACGACTTGTGAAACGCCATGCCGACGTGATCGCATATCACGAATTCTCGCACGTAGTATAATATCTTGTCGAAGAACTGACCGAGTATTCGATTGCGCAGTTGGCACGGTTTGTTGCGTTCGCGCGCGCGATCACCTCGATGATACGCCGCTTTTATCACCGACACCGAGGCGACGACGTCGTCCCCGCCGTCGAATCGTTCGATCTCGCGCGCGATCGTTCCGCGAGACGTCGCGGTTCGATCGCGATCGCGCGAGCAATCGTCCGATGAGGCACCGTCGTCCTCGTCGCCGTAACTGCTCGTTTCTCGCGCGCGTTCGGTCCGTCGATCCTTCCGGAACAAGGATGGAACGAGCCGTCGTCGCGTCAACGCGGAATCGAGTTCGTCGCGGTAGCGACGATCGTCCTCCTCCTCCTCGTTCTCGTCGCGATCGTCTGAGTCGTGATACGAGTCGGCGATCTGCGCGCGAAATCGTCGCTCCTCGGCGATTCCCGCGATGGCCGAGTTCATGGTGTTCGCCCGTCGCAACCAGCACAGCGACAATAATCACGACTCCGTGAAGTTCGGCCAGTTGTTGGGCGTTCGACACGTAGTCTCGGATGGTCGAGTGGCCGTGATACGTGATCAGCACGATTCGACAGGGTGCCTCGGTCAGCAACTCGTACTCGGTGTTGAGGGCGGTCAGTTGTCCCGCCGATTCGCCGTAGGCGTACACGATATCGCGGCGATTCGCCTTGTGGGTGTCACGGATCTTGTGCCAAACCGCTGCGACGCTCTTCGCGTTCGACGCGATCATCGAAGGGGTCTCGTCATCCATCGTCGAGTCCATCTCGTTCTCGTCCTCGTCGTCCTCGCTCGCGATGCGCATTCTCTTCCGCTCTCCACGCAGCAGCCAACGATCCATCTCGGTGCACCGTCGCGCGAGCGAAATGCGAGTCGACCACGGCCCAACGACCGTAAGCGTTCAACAGCTTGACGCGAACGATATCCGCGGCGAACCGCAGGGACGATTTATTCGCACCGTCCCCTCCGTCGCTCTTGTCGAGCGGAGCTTCGTCGGTCATCGAGGGGAGCGTCAGAGTGGTGAGGAATCGTTTCCGCGCGTCCGGATCGTGACGCGACAGCGCGGCCAGTCGACGGACTAGCCTCGGTCGTTGCCGCGCGTCGATCACCGCGGACGATCTCTCGTGCAGCGCGACGCGTCTGATCAATTGCGCCGTCGCTTCGCACGACATGGAGAATACGCGACCGTGACGGCGCGTCGCGGGACGCGCGCGAGCGCACCACGGGTCCACTCGCAGATTCAACGGGTACGGCAATGAACCGCGTCGCGTCAAGGTGCCGCTCGTCGTCGCGCCGCTACCGTCTCCGCTCTCCGCGACGACGCGACTCTTGAGCAAGGCGCATACGTCTGAAAGCGCGCGCGTGACGTCCTTAGCAGCGTCACCCGCCGTCGCGTCGGCGTTAACGATCGTCGCCAGTTCCGTCGCGTAATCGTGCATGAAATCACCGACCTCCGACGGACACAACGAGCGCAACAGATCGCGTTCGCGCGCCGAAAACTTGGGCGCGTCCAGCGCCACGGAGGCGATCAATCGGCCAAACGTCAACACTCGCAACGACGACCGCGACGACGACGAAAATACCGGATCGAGCGCGCGTTCTCTCAGAAACGATCGCACCTTCTCGTAGTTCGCGCCGGCCGCGAGTTCGATCGAGCGCTACTCGCACGCGACCGCGAACGCCTCCGACACGAAGCTATCGTCACCGCGCAGCGTCGTCGCGCCGCTTCGATCGAGACGATCGCTCATATATCGCGCGCCGCTCGTTATCGCGTTCGAATCCGCGCGTCTCTCCGATACAGCGGCGTGCTCTGAACGCTCGGACCGATGTCGTCGCGACGACGAAGCGGTGGAGTCGCCGGTCTCTTCCTCGTCATTGTCGTCGCGACGACGAAGCGGTCTCGTGCTCACGGGGGCTATCCTCGGTTCGACGTCACTCATTTTCGCCCGGAGGTGCCGTGGTTCGTGACGTTATCGAAGCGAAACAACGCGAGTAGTGACTGGTCAACAGCATCTCGTACAAGGCGTCCAAATCCTCGTCGGACAGACCTCGAACTCGGTCGATCAGATCGCTAGCGAAAAAACAAGTGACCGCGTTGTGACTCTCGTCGCGCGCCGTACGCCTCGTTCGCGCGCGTTTCGCTGCGTCGCGACGAAGCGGCGAGCGTCGTCGCTTAGTATCGCGACGAACGGACGGCGATCGCGTGAGCGACGACGAATTCAACATGTGCAGCAGGTCGTCGTAATGGGCGCGACTTCGATACATCGCCTACTCGTCGGAATCGTCACTCGACGTCCCGCCGATCGCGATTGTTCGCGCGAACATCATCGATAACGTCACCATGCGCGTCGAAGATGGTTCCACAGTCGCGTCAGATTCGCCGCGAAATCCGGTTGCTTCGTCGACTCCCGAGCTCGAACTCGCGTCAGCGAATTCGTCAATTCGGCACCGCTGTCGGAGTAGCGCGCGGACGCGACCGACGTCGCGGACGTCCACACCGTTGTCTCGTCGAAAACTAGTCGACCGATCGCCGCGCTGTAACGCGCGGCACCGTTGTCGCGACTCGGTTCGGTCTGCCAGAGAGAGACGCGAAGAGGTACTCGCTCTCCGTATCGCGCGACCGCTGTTGCTTCGTCGACGAGAGCGCACGCTTGCGCGTACAACACCAGATGCGTGAGTCGAGTCATCGCGTAGACGAGCACCGTCGTGATCGCGACTATAGCGAGACTATAGCGAGCATCGACAGTGTCATCATCACCGATGACGTCGACATCGCAGTCGCGAGAACGGGGCGTCTTAGGTGCCGCGTCGCTAGACACCGTGTCGCATTATCGAGTCGATGTGTCGATGAAGATCGCTAGGTCGCAGTCGCAGAAACATTTCGTTCGACACGAAGGGCTTGCCGAAAGTCGTGTTTATGCGCAATCGCGGACACATTCGAAATCGCTGATTCCCGGTGAATTCACTCGGCAGCTCCATTGCGCAGAAGAGGCTCCACAGTTGCCGAGCCAGCCAAAAGTGCACGACTCGATCATCGAACGATCGTAGACGACAGCCACCGTTGTCGCATCGATCGTTTCGCGCGCGGTGACCATCGCGCCATTTCGGCGGTCGCCGCATCGATCGATGCGAACGCGCACTCGATCGATCGATGCGAACAAGCGCGATCTCCGCCGTGACGCAGAACCTCTTGCAGCTCACAGAACGCCAAGGTCAGCGCCCGCGCGTCCGCTATCGAGCGAAATCGATCGACAGCGTCCGGTTCATCGTCCGTCGTTGCTTCCGCGCCAATCGCGTCGTATCGCGAAGCTGGCGCGAAGAGACCAATCACCGCGCTCGTCCCGTTGTCGTCGCCTCGGCGCAGCGACGCGCTTACTGAGACGAAGTGACGCTCGAGCAGAGGATAGTAGTGCGTCATAGTGGCGATTGATTTGTCGAGCACGCCGAAGGTGAAGTCATTGCCGAAGCACACACCGAACCACAGCAACAGTATCCCACACGTGCCATAGTGCAGATTCAGATGTTTCCAGCAGAGCAACACGTTGTTGGTGCCCTCGTAATATATCAGATACTCGTCGACAACGGTCATCGTCGCGTCGTTGTTCGCCACCGTCGCTCGTTGTTTTCACCATGATCTCGGCCTCGCGTCGTCCCACTCGTCTTCGACGATTTTGTCGGCGCGATCGTCGTTGTGCCTCGGACGAACCGAAGACGGCGCTGGTCGAACCGAAGACGTCGTCGAGGTCGCGCGACGACGAGTTCGCGTCGTGCGTCAGTTTCGACAGAATGTACACGAAGACATCGTTGTCTCGCGCCATTATCAAACGCGGACGATCGCCACTGTGCGCAGCCAACCAGTTTATGGCCTTCACCTCTCCCTCACCCTCGTCGTAATCGAACTCGAGACGATTCGCCCGAGCGAACGTTGTCGCCGAATCGCAGGTCCGATCGACGGCGCGAGTGTCTCCTTTCGCACCGGTTCGCGTGACTCCGTCTGTCCCGCGTTTCTTCGCTTCGATGTCGGCGACGATCGCGTTCGCGACGGTTGTCGCGCCGCTAGCCCCCACTCTCCGTCGTTCGTTGCTCCGAGCG